AAGATCAGCTTTACCGTAGACAATCCTCAAGACATCCAGAGGAAGTCACATTTGTGCATAAATACTAGAAATCTATATGCCATAAATAATAACAATGCGTCACGTACACCACATCCGTATGGAGTGCTCGATCACAAATTAGTGAGTTTTAGTAAACTATTTAGCCATTGTTTTAAGTATTAATTAATAATAATTGTTTATTTATTGTTTCCCTATTGGTCCTATGATCTCTARTAAATAATCATAATTTGTCCCTTATAAGAAGTCTTTAATTTTTTCTGTGTACAGGGAGTTAACCAAAAGGATGCGACATGTATGACTTGCAACAAGGGATTGAACGACTGTCCAGGGCATTTGGGCTTCATAGACCTGCAATTGCCAGTCTTCCATGTTGGATTCTTCAGCTCAGTTATAACAATATTACAAACAATTTGTAAAGTAAGCCAATCCATCAATATTTTTCTTCTCTTTACTTCATATAGTTAGGTTTTTTTACAATTCTACCACTTATTGCAAATATTTATTTCAGAATCCTTTTTGTGCTAAAGTGTTATTAAATGAAGAAGATCGAATGTTTTTTTATACAAAGTTGAGAAACAAGAATTTAACATACACAATGCGTAAAAAAGTGTTTAAAGAAGTCCATGCTAAGGCGAAAAAGGTGCAGATATGTCCGTTTTGTAGTGAAATTGTGGGTCAAGTGAAAAAAAATGGTATATTGAAAATATCATATGATCGTTACAGGTATAAAAAACCTGGCACAGAAGCTGAAAGTAAATTATGTTAGTATTATTATTTATTATCAATGCAAAATGCCAATAATTGTAATTTTCCTAATGAGAATTGTGCAAATTAAATCAATTAGGTGCTTTGAATGATGTGGTTAAGTATAATAAAGAAGTTGAATCTATGAGAAATTATCTATTTAATGAGAACCTTAATCCTCAAGAAGTACTACGTCTATTATTATCCATACCTTATGAAGACATTATATTGTTGGGTATGAATCCTGAGGTATCAAATCCTGGATGGTTGTTAATGACAAGAATGTTAGTACCTCCAAATTGTATTCGTCCATCTGCTGTTTCTGATATACGATCAGGAACGTAAGTACAATATTATTTTAATGAAACTGTGAAACATRATAATTATGTTCAAAATTGTTAATGTTATTTTATATTTAGAAATGAAGATGACTTAACATTAAAATTATCRGAAGTTTTATTTATTAATGATGTAATTGTTAAACATAAACAGTCTGGAGCTAAACCCCAGTTATTGCACGAGGACTGGGAATACTTGCAGTTACATTGTGCCCTATATATTAATAGTGACTTRTCTGGTGTTTCACGTACAATGATGGTAAGTTTTAACTAATATAAAATATTGTAGTTTAATTATTCATTCAATATCTAATGTATTATTATTTATTCAGCCAAAAAAAATTGCTAGAGGTTGTGTTCAGCGTTTGAAAGGAAAACATGGACGTTTTCGTGGTAATTTATCTGGTAAAAGAGTAGACTTTACAGCACGGTCTGTCATTTCACCAGATCCGAATCTTCGAATAGAAGAAGTAAAAATTTAAAATTAACTATTTTACAATAAAAAWTTTAGATCCTTATTGATCTTTTAGGTTGGTGTTCCAGTTCGAATGGCCAAAATTTTAACATATCCTCAAAAAGTATGTCCAGCCAACATTGAATTAATGCGTAAACTAGTGATGAATGGACCTGAAATTCATCCAGGTGCTAATTTTGTTGAACTTCAAGGTTCGAAGTTGAAAAAGTACTTGAGATTTGGAAATAGACCAGCTATAGCAAAAGATTTAAAAGTCAGTGTTTTTTTTTTTTATAAAATTTCTCTATATTTTATTAAATTTTTAATAAAATGCTTACAATCT